AGGAGTGTGATCCAGGCAGATCTTGACAGGCTCATGAAATGGGCAGAGGAGAACCTGATGGTGTTTAACACTGAAAGATGCAAGGTTCTCCACCTTGGGAGGAAAAATCTGCAACATGCTTATAGGCTCAGCAGTGCTACGCTGGTCAGGGAAGGGAAAGGGACTTGGGGGTCATGATTGACTACAAGATGAACATGAGCCTTCAGTGTGATTCTGTGGCTAGTAAAGCAAACAAAACGCTGGCTTGCATCCATAGATGCTTCTCAAGAAAATCCTGGGACGTCATTCTCCCGTTGTACTCAGCCTTGGTGAGGCCGCAGCTGGAGTACTGCATCCAGTTTTGGGCTCCTCAATTCAAAAAGGATGCGGAGAAGTTTGAGAGAGTGCACAGGATAGCCATGTGCATGATCACAGGTCAGGAAAACAGACCTTATGATGGGAGGCCGAGAGCCATGGGACTCTTCAGCCTAGAAAAGCGCAGGCTCAGGAGTGATCCCGTGGCCACGTATAAGTTTATCAGGGGTGCTCATCAGGATCTGGGGGAACGTCTGTTCACCAGAGCACCCCAAGGGATAACCAGATGGAATGGTCACAAACTCTGCTGCAACCGATTCAGGCTGGACATAAGCAAAAACTTCTTTACTGTCCGAGCTTCCAGGGTTTGGAATAGACTGCCGCTGGAGGCGGTTCAAGCACCGCTTTGAATGCCTTCTAGACACATTTGGATGTTTATCTTGCTGGGATCCCATGATCCCTGCTGACTTCCTGCCCTTGGGGCAGGGGGCTAGACTTGATGATCCTCTGGGGTCCCTTCCAGCCCAAATGTATATGAAATTTATGAAATGTCTGCTTGTGGTCTAAATTTGCTTGCTTAGGTGCTAGCCTTTCACCTGTAAGTCCAAATTAACTTAGAGACTTGATGTTTCTGTGCCTTCCAGCTACCATTTCAAGCTTTCTTGTACAAGAATAGCATACTGTAAGTAAAATGATGTCCAAAAGTCTTTGTGCCTTGAGGCAGACAAAGTTCTTTGGGTGAATATGATATCTTTTATTAGACATACTTAAATAGTTGGAAAAAAAATTTTTAGCAAGCTTTCAGGTTCAGAAACCCTTCGTCAGGCTGAGGAAGTTTCAGGAGTTGGTGTGTGCTCTTCCTGGATGGAATGAAAAGTAAAGAAGCCGGAGGCTGGGCTGGTATGCATACAAGACAGGCAATCAGTGAAGATACAGATTGAGATTGTAGATGTAGATTGTGCCTTAACACACTTTAAAATATGAATAGTATAAATGCTGTAAATGGCAGGACACTAAAACGGGTGGCCAGAGTTACTCACTCTGAGAGCCACATCTGATCTTCCACCGAAGCTGGGGGATGGGAGGGGGTGCTGAGTAACTCAGTGCAGCTACAAAGAGTGTGTGTTGGGGGGAGCTGCTGAGCAATCCAGAGCAGCTGCAGAGTGTGTATGTGGGGGGTGCATTTCTCCACTGAAGCCCCACCTACTTCCCCTGAGGTGGCAGCCCAGTTTCCCCCGGCGACCCGCAAGAACCATGCCGGCCAGCTGCATGTAGCTCGCAAGCCGTAGTTTGGCCACCACTGCAGTAAACAGTCACTGGGTAAAATACGTAAACAGTTGATGGAGCAAGAACCAAAATCCAGGACACCTCTTTCCCAGCCATGTGCCCAAGATGGAGTCATATTCCTTCTTCTCTTTCTCTGACCCAGTCTTTCTTGCATTCTCTTCTTCAGAGTGGCACAGCTTTAGCAATATCACATAGAGCAGGTGGTTCCCAACCTTTTTATGCTGAGGACTGGCAAACCAAAGACCAGAAGTGACCACAGACTAGCAGGTTGTGGACCAGCAGTGATTGGCATGCTGCAGGCAGGCAGCCGACACTTTTTTATACTCAGTATAAGAAAGGGGTGGCTGCTGGTCCGCAGTATGCTGGTCACTTCCGGTTTGCAGTTGGCCAGTCTGCGGTCACTTCTGGTCTTGCAGCCAGCCCTCCTGGGGACCAGCAGCCAACCCTACACAGCCCGGCATTGGGCCATGGCCCAGGGGTTGGGAACCCCTGACATACAGGGTGGAAAGTGCCAAATGTAGAATAACCCAAAGCCCTGTGTTTAGGACAGTCTTCTGGGAGGTGAGAGATGTGGGTTTGAACACCTAGGTCTCTCATGTTGAGGGCAAGTGCTCCAACCACTGGCAGTATGTAAAGGGAGAACCCCACTTTCTCCATCTCTGTTCATACTATAAACCAAAGGGATGACACGTGCTCTTTTTTTTAAAGAATGACTTAAGGGACTAATTCCAAAGCAGATTCCAGTCTGACATAGGAGCCTCCATGAAGTCCAAAGTGGTCATCAACGAGCACTGTGTGAGAGGAGGGGATTTCTAAGACTTACCCTTTCTTCTTTTCAGCATTTCCTGTTGACTCCCTGCTTAATGTGTTGATTGTTCTGAATTCCACTCAGAGACAGGGTTTCTACCCCTCTATACATGTATAAGCAACTTAAGCACTTAACTTCAGGGTAGTAGATTCTGTTTTGGGAGCCAAGTAGCTAAATTAAGTGTTGCACTACTTGACTTCAAAACACCTAAGCTCTTGTTTTAGATCTAGCCTGATGCAGTTTGTTCAAGAAATGCAGGCAGTTTGTGATTGAACAGGGAATTGACTTCTGGTCTCCATAGATTCAGACTAATGTTGGAACAGACCATTGTTCCTCACAAGAAGGCAAAATTAAGTTGCATGGGCTATGTTCATTTTGGCATTTTCTTGATTTATGGTTACTTGCCCTGCAATGTTAATAATGCTTTTCAAACGGAACAGGTTTTTGTATTGTAATTTTGGATTTAAATTTTTAAAAATCCCTATAACTAGTTTGCATCTTGGTCACTCGAACAAATTGTAACCCTCAACACTTGTCCTGCACTGAGAATCTTGTAATTTAATAAAATGAATCAGAAATCAAGAGGAGAATGAAATGAACCAATGCTCTTTCATTTGTATTGTATTGGTAACCACAAGTTCTGTCATTTATATTGTAAACCTAATTTTTATGAGGTACCAAGTGTCCATATTTCTTGATAGATCTAATCCATACTCAGTACAAGCACAGGGTTTGTCTCTGTGATTCCTCATTGATTTTAGGACTTTCCACAATTTCAAGGTTTTCTTGCCTTTTCCACATAGCCATTTCATCTTTCCCACAGAGGTTGCCTGTATAGTGACAAGAATCATAATTTTGCTGCAATTTATGAAGTATCTGTCCACCTTTCTGTGCGTGTATGTGTAACATATTGATGTGAATGTAGACCTGTTGCTTGGTTTTTCTTAAAGTCATAGAGTTGGAAAGGACATCAGAGGTTATCTAATCCAGGGGTGGCCAACCTGCAGCATGCACGCCTTAAGTCGTACATGGCAACTCAGTGAGGAGAGAGGCAGCACAGTGGCAGATACAGCAGAATGCAGAGCAGTAGATTAGGCAGGAAGTTGGAAGTAGAGCTACAGATTGGACAACAGGGGAAGAGAACTGGAGTGGCACTTAGGGAGGGTCTGGGTCTAATTTGTAGCATGCCTGCCAAAAACCTTGGTCCCACTGATCTAATCCAACCCTCTGTACAAATGGAGGCTTTGCTGTTTCTAAACTATCTCAAACAAATGCATATACAATGCCTCTTTGAAAAAAAAACAGCTGCTTTTTTATTTATAATAACTCTTTAAATTACTTTAAAATCTAACAACTCCTAAATTGATTATATAAGCCCTATATAAGGGCTTATATAGTTACACAAGGCCTAAATGTTGATAAAACTGGGAAATAATTTACTTGTACTGAATATTTTATTTTACACCTTCATCAATTTATAGAAAATATACTTTATTTTTCTCATCCTGGGTCAAAAATAGAAAGAGTATGATGGTTGCTCAGGCTTTTTTCTCTCAAACTCTTTGAATCTTCATTCCACCTCCCATTCTTAGTTAGTTAGCTCAAGGAATGGGATGTTTGATTTAATCATCTACATGCCAGCCTCACTATGCTAAGTAATCTTGATTAGCATTCAGGAACCTATGATCAATTTAGATGATCAGAGGCTGGAAGAATAGTGTTTTTTGTTTTTTGGTACATGGTTCTGGAATTTGGTGTGCACCCTTGAGTATCAGAAATGGAGTTTCTAAGAGCACAGTATAAGCCTTACCTGTTCATTTACTGGCTGAAAGGACAAGCTTGAGAACTTTTTATTAACTTTGACTTTATTATATGTTTTTAACAATTTACTTAATAAAATTCATAATTCTCTGCAATTGTATTTAGTTATAACAAAAGCAGATATTTTAAATTGAAAAATAAAAAAGCCACCAACGTCTGGTCAAAATAAAAACAATAGTTTTTACTAGTGTTTGTTTGAGAACACACTTCTGTTTGAGGCATAATTAAGCCATGAATATATAAGTAGGGAGTTGATTACAAAGTAATTAAGAAATCACCTTTACTTCCCCTTCCCAGCAGCTGCCAATCTGTTTAGTTTTATTTCCCAAAGTTTTTCCTTTTTTATTTTTCACACCTCTTTCTTCTAAATAAATTAGTCTTCTGCTTTTGGGATAGTTATTTCTTGAAAAAGTAACTTACAGGTTGAGTGTGGTATTGTACTCTGTCTTCAGCTTGTGAGATCTGAAAATTAGAGTCCATGTTCTCTATAGCAGTGTAGAAGGCCAGTGCTGTACCACAAATGTGATAATATATTTTTGGATTTATAGTATAGCTGTGCATCAAGGAGAAAAAAATAATGTAAAAGAATTCCATTATAATAACTAGATCTGATAATTTCTATTGTGATTTTTTTTTTTTAATACATATTTTTAATTCACTATCCTGTTGGAGCTGAATGGAAAAGGATGGTATGAAGAAAGTTATCCTGTAAGGCTTAACTATAAATATCTACTCAACTCATTTTTTATTTAAGAAATACTTTAGTTAACAATTCCTTTTGACTTTTTAGAAATATCAAGAAATGGCAGAAAAAAACGAGGAAAAAATTTCTGTGATTGAAAGCGTACGGGAGAAGTTGGTCCTTGAACATTCCCACTTGAAAAGTTCGTTAACCCAGGCTCAAAAGGACTGCTCATCTCTGCTTGCAGCCTGTGCACTAATGGCTGGTGCCTTCTATCCTCTATACAGCCGAACTTGTGCCTTGTCTACACAAAGAGACTTTCTGCAGGATCAGGTCCACACCTATGAAGCACTCAACCAGGAAATTAGGACTCTTGTTCATGCTTTGTCTGGCATAGAGGAAAAGAAGCAAGATGAACTGAAGATAAAGAAAAAACACTTCAAAGGCATGATATGTGTATTCCGGAAAGGCGTTATTGCAGTTCTGGCAGCAAACAGGCTTCAAATTTTGGGCCAGTCATGTAGTTCTCTTTTCTCCTGGGTAGATGGTTTCAGAGAAGGTGTAGGAGTCCTTGTTTGCATAGGACAGTCCAAGGACAAGTATGATTTGCCAAGTAAGATATTTGGTTCTGTCAAATGACACTGTTATTGCTTAGTAATAATAATAATAATGGTACTAATAGTAACAGTAGTAGTAGTAATAATTATTTTAAAAATACAGTTGGTGATCGTACGCCTAACAACTTTAAAAAATGTAGGCAAACATTGGTTTAGAGGCTCCCTAAAATCCAAGTACTAGGATCAGTTCGAAAACTGAAAGAGGAGTGATGGATAGATCTGTAACTATAGATAGAAAGATGGATAGATGGATGATTTTTTTAGAACAGTGTTTTACAAACGTATTATAGTGATGGGAATTTACAAACTCATGCAGATCTAGAGAAAAGCTTCTACTTAAAAAAATAGATAAATCAGACATTCATCTTTTGCAGTCAAATGTTGAAAGATGCATTTGACAGTAAAATGACCAAAATAATCCTTGAATCAAAATATAGTTCTGTGCGGAGATATTTTCAATTTAAATTTAGAGGGGCTTTTTCTCTTTTTGTAGGGCAAAAGGAAGTAAAACAACACATTATATCCTTTCAAATCTCTTCTAAATAAGAGAAAAGTCATAAATAAGGAAATAAAAGCCAAAATGTTGACACACTGCATGGCACCATCATAATTTAAATCAGCAGTTATCAACCAGGGTGTCACAAGACTCTTTTAAGGGTGATGCAACAGTGACAGCGAGGTGAAACTGCTCTGTGCACCTGTTTCTAAGAGGCACCTGTGCCTACAAACCTAATGCAGGCAGGAGTACCTGCTTCTGTCATAGCCACCTCCCAGTTAGGTTCCACAGGTGCCTCCTAGAATCAGAGGCATGCAAAGCAGTTTCACCTAGTGGAGGCAGCACAGTAGCCTGACAATCAAGTAGGTGAACTGAGACATTACGACAGTAGTTCTCAACCAGGGTGCTACCCCAGTCAAAAAATTATAGTGGGATACCTTGCATATAAAATGGTTGAGAACCACTGATCTAAAATTTCCTTAAGGAAAGATCAGCTTTGAGTATGAATTTTGTAGACATTTTATTTTGATTAGTTTCTGAACAGCTAAAGATATAGTGTGATACATATATTAATGTATTACTATATTTTTGATTCACAGAACCTCAAAAGGAACAGTTGCGTTGTCTTGAAGCTCTCAGCTGGTTTGCGAGTTCTGACCTCCTTGCTGCAATAATAACTTCTGTTGCTGAATTACAGGAAGTTGTTGGCAAAACAGGTAATATTAAAAAATATATTTTTATAATAGACTGTAAATGGCTGACAGCATGATATTTTTTATTAAACAAACTAAATAATTGGGAAAATTGTTCTTTACAAGCTTTAGGGTAGAATCTGGTGTCTGGGTGGCTCTTTCAAAAGTGTGATTTATCTCTCTGGACAAGTGTCCTTGTTGAGTGAAAGCCTGTTTGAGATTTGTGACATGAGGATCACGGGTGTTCTCAGTACAAATTCAGTGGTATCAGAGCGCTTGGCTATATATTACAGCTTTCTTGGTGTGTTTAGGGTGATTGCTGGTTTTGTATAGATATGCGTGCCTGCCATCTGGTAGCCCCAGGTAACCTCTCTACAGTTTACAAGCTACATTTTATCACTGGTCAACAGTCCCCATTTCTGTATTTTTTTTTTCCCTTCTCCACATACCTGTTACACCCATTAACTCCCATCACCTCTGATCTTCCCTGTCACACTTGCATTTTCACAGACCTGCATTTTGCACATTGGCTTTAGCTTCTGTTCCACTCAAGAGAGTACATGAACACCAGCAGACTCTCCCTATGCCTGAAGAAGGGTATTTCTGCCCGAAAGCATGTAAAGTAGTTTTTTCAACTGTTTAGTTGGTCTAATAAAATATATTACATTTACCCAAATAACCTTGTCTGCCTATTATATCTTTAGACCAACATGGCTATAACCCCTGAAAAATGGATGATATCTTCTAATGGCTTGAATTCCTTGAGGAAGAAAGCTATATGGTTTTGGCAGTCTAATTTTCTGTAAATTTCTTGCTGGCATGCCAGTGGATGGCTTTGCATATACCCTTTCACTCATGTGTGCCCAACATATAGTACTGAGTAATAGCTATGCAACTCTGATCAGTAGTTATTGATGCTTAATGCCAAAATAGCAGCTGTATAAGTTGGCATCTCAAAATGACAGTTGTGAATATAATAGGATCAATTTCCATAGATAATGCATGCTCATTTACCATCAGTTTCGAATTAGTGTAAAACTGGTTTCTGTGTATTTTATTGGAATTTCTTTTGTTTGTATTGATTTAAAGAGAATCATCAATATACATATTGGATTCCCTAAATACCAAAATATGTAACCAGAAAGGTACATTAAAGCTTAATCCTTTAGTGAACTGTTTCTCCATGAGGCTTGTCTCGGGCTTTATTTCAGGTCATAACTCTTGTCGTGACTTGTCAGTAATCAAACCTCAGGGGCGTTAGCCCTATTATAAGTATCGTATTTACCTGAATCTAAGATAACCTTGAATTTAAGATGCACCCTTCCCCCCTTTCCCTCCCCCCCCCCCCCCCCC